GTGTGTGTGTGTGTGTGTGTGTGTGTGCGCGCGCGCGCACGCGCGCGCGCGCGTGCGTGTGTGTGTGTGTGTGTGTGTGTGTGTGTGTGTGTGTGCGTTCGCGTGTGTATGTGTGTGGACGCTCCTAACCAAAAATGCCACGTGAGCAAAGACTAATTGAGAGTTGCATGACAGCGGCTTCACTATCAACTCAAGCAGACCCTGGCAGTCCCTAAGACCGCTACATCCCCCCAATGCAAAACCCAGATGAACGACTACCCCTGTTCTCAAATCACCAGCTCCCCAAGCAAACCCACAGCCACCTTCCCCCTGCCCTCCCCCCAAACACACACGCGCACCATCTTGCAGTCGTTGTTGATGAAGCTGACAGCCTTGGTCATGTGCAAGATGCCTGTCGCGAGATACTCGTCCCTGCAGCAGGGGCCAGAAGGACGAGGGGAGTCAGCCCTTGGCCGCGGTGCCGGACGCAGGCCGGCCGTGGCCGCGCCGCTGCTGGCGCGGCCTGGGCGCCTAACCGCAGCAGCCACGGGCCGCCCTGAGCAAGCTGGCGAGGCGGACGCCTTCTTGCTTATGTCGCGCCCATAAGAGGCACCTGCGCGCCCTCTTCGGCAGGCGTGCTGGCCAGCGCCGCTCCCTTTGAGAACGGCCCGTGTGCGGACTGCTCGGGTCGTGCGCCCACCTGTGGGTGCCCGACAGGTCGAGCTCCCGCAGCACCATGGCCAGGGGCTTCACCGGTTCTGTTACCAGGTAAATGGCGGTGCCGCCCTTCTCCTGCGCCTCCAGGCTGTCTTTGAAGGACAGGACGTTGGGGTGGCGCAGCTGCCAGGGGGCGGGCAGGCGTGTGGACGGGGCTTTTGGAGCTGCTGTCGCGGCATGCGATGCCAACTAGGCATGTAAGTTGCCAATCATGATAATTGCGGCTGCAGCATGCTGGGCTGCGCGGCTGCAGGACCAGTGCGCCAATGCGGCATGCATCGGCCTGCAGCCGTTGTTGCTGCTCGTTTTGCGCTCGCACACACCATGCGCAGACGCTTGACACCGTTGCGCGCTGCCGCCAGCTTGCGGTCATTAGGATCGGCCGCAATCAGCTTGAATACAGACGCGGGGCTGCCGTCCTCCTTCGAGGTCGCGGGGTAGTGCGTCCAGCATCCCCATGCCTGGCTGTATGGCTCCTCCCCGACCGTGTAAGCAAGAGATGGCCCACCGCTGACGAGCTTCGAGATGCTCGAAAAGAGGCTCGACATGGCTTAGATCGGTTGAGCAAACGCGCCAAGGCCAACCTCTGCTTTCATGATTGGCGATCTTGGATGAATTTGCGGCATAGGGGCTCTTTGATATGCTGGGCAAGGCGCCGGGTTGGTGAGCAGCTTCAGTGTAACTTGCCGTCCAGGTGGCACCAACCGCTCGTACCGTACGTCGCCTGAACTCACCCGCCACGCACCACATAGCGGGGTAATCAGCAGAAGACGAGAAGGTCTCACTCATCTGAATTGTCCCTGTCAGCCGCTCCAAGCTGGATGGGAGCATTCTTGACAACACCAACGCTCCACCCCAAGTCGGCGGCGTGAACGTGCCCTAGGCTGCAAAATGTGTTTCGTGTGCTCTCGAGCATTGCGTGCTACCTGAACAAGGGTAAGCACTCCCCGAAAAGATACACGTGTGTTCAATTACATCCAACCACATGGCGGTTGAATAAGTCGCCTCAACACCCGCCATCACTGCGGCAGTCATCCACCCACATGCACAGCCCCCCCAACGCTTCCCGCCCGCATCCCCTCGACTGGGCCGGCCCCGCCGCGCGCGGCCGCCGCCAGCGCCTGGACCTTGCCCCGCAGCTCCTCCACCGCAGCGCTCAGCTTCCCGGGGTCGGTGAACATCAGCGCCATCACGCGCCGCTCCAGCTGCTGCTCCCGCGCGTTCTGCCGCTGCACCGCCGCCCAGTCCTGCTGCTGCTGCAGCAGCCGGTTGATCGCGCCGCCGATCGAGTGGTTCAGAGCCTCCAGCGCCCGCATCGCGTCCGCGAGCGCGGGGCTCGTCAGCACAGGGGCCGTCGCCGCGTGCTCACCCGCCTCGCCGCCGCCGCTGGTGCCATCCGCGGGGAACGCGAGCTCCCGCAGCTGCCCCTCGACTGCGAGGATCTCGCGCAGCCGCCGGGGCAGGTCCTCCAGCAGTCCGGCCTCCAGCGCGGCGCCGCCGGCGCGCAGGGAGTCCGCGAGGCCGGACAGGCAGACGCACAGGTCCCTTGTGGTGGAGAAGCCTTGGGGGCCCACGCGGTTGCTGGGGGGATGGGGGATTGGTGGTGAGGGCGGACGGGGGATTGCGGTTGAGGAGGGGTGGGCGAGGTGGGCCATGCAGCTTGGCATCAAATGCTTGGAGCGGGTTCTAACAAGCGGTGCAGATGGGCAGGCTCTTTTTGGCCACCAACAGCATCTGGTGTGGTGGGCGCATCAGGTTCTGGCGCACCCTGCACCAGCAACACAGATAGTCTGACAGTTTTGCACCTGCGGGGCGTCAGCAAGGGCGCCTGCGGCGTTCCCGCCTGCCCGCCGCCTGCCAAGCCGCCGGCCCCGGCCCCAGCCCCGCCCTGCTGCCAGCCCTCCCCGCCCGCCGCCACGGCTGCCCAGTCCGCGCCCGCCGGCCGCAGCAGGCGCTGCAAGCGTGTGAGGTAAGCGTCCTCGGGCGCGACGCTGCTGCGCTGCTGCGCGGCGGCCGCCGCGGCCGCCAAAGCCGCGCATGCCGCCTCTCGGCGCTCAGCGGCGGCCGCGGACGCCCCAAGCAGGCCCCTCGCGCCGTCGACCGCGGACTGCAGGGCGCGTAGCCAGTTCAGCTCGCCGGACTGGACGCCACGAAGCACGGCGTGGCGGGCCGCCGCGTCCAGGAGCGTCTCAATGAGGGCGCGCTTGCGGGCGTGCGCGACGCGCATTTTCGCCAGCTGGCGGTCATAGTCGCCCTTTGGGTTTGAGGGCGCAGTGAAATTGAGGATGGTGGGCGACACACACTGCAGAGGCCGTTTGCTGGCTCAGGGCTGCGATTGATCGCACGGCGGAGATTTGGGGCCCCATTTGCAACGGTGTCAGCACGTGCGTGCACCACGCGTGCAGCCGAGAGCAGGAGCGGTGCACGCGGCAGCGTGAAAAGGGTGCACGCGCACCTCGAGCACATGTGTGTCGTTCAGCTTTGCCAATGCCACGTGTAGCGCCGGCAGCTGCACGTCCTGCAGCGCCATGCGCTCTCGCTCCAAGGACTCCGCCTCGCGGCGCAGCTGCGGCGCCTGCACGGCGGGTGGAAGGTGCGGGCGGCGGTGGGAGTTCGGCATCTGTGCAGGTGGGCCAGCTCGTCTCCCCGCGCCGACGGGGCTTGAGGTGACAATAAGCTGGGGTAGATGGCACTTTTCTTGCGTGTTTGCAGCAGAGCATGCCGGCCGCGTTTGTTCCGGGAACGTGGTGTTCAGGGGGCGGCGAGATGTGACGGTGCCCGCCTGATCACCTGCTGCAGGACTGCGTCTGCGCCCTCCCCCGCCGCAGCCGCGGCCACGCCGGCGCCCCGCGCGCCGCTGGCGCCCGCCCCCGCGGCTGCCAGCTGCGGCGCGCCCCTCGCCGCGGCGGAGGGGGCCCCGCGCTGGCGGTGGCTCTCAGCCTCGATCAGCGACTCCACAGCTGTCGCAGCGCCCTCAGCCCCGGCTTGCTGCACCAGGGCCGCCATTCGTTGGTCGTACGCAACCTAAGGATTGAGATCGGCGGCGGCGAAGGTGTGGGTGTGGGTGTAAGTGAATGGCCTACAGAGACTGTTGATACTGCAGGCTTTGGTGTTGGGCAGCCGCCCTGCTGTGCGTGACACCTTGGTTGCATGTGCATGTTGCTGCCCAACCAAGCAAAGAAGCCTCACTTAAACATCTTGCTTCAGCTGTAGACACGCACAACGCCATAATTCCTACCCGTGACAGTTGCGCGCAGCCCGACACCCACACACCTTGAACGCCACACGCTGCCGCGCCAGCTCCTCCCGCAACCCCTCATTCCTGCGCTCCTGGTCGCGCCAGCGGCGCGCGTCGCCGCGGCTGCCGCCCCCCCAGGTCGCTTTGCTCGCTGCGGGCGCCTCAGCGTCGCAGTCGCTGCCATCGCCGCTGCCTGCTTCATCGGCGCCGGCACCGTCAGGGGGCATCACCCCTGCCGCTGCGCTTACGAGCCGCATGCCCCTGCAAAATCGTCCCGCGGCATATTGCAGGTATGAAGGCACAATCAGCTCCCTGGGCTCATGTGCCATGTGGCTTGCAGCGAGCACGGGCAAAAGCACGCGTGCAACTCGGTGCTTCGGGCTTGTGTCCCAACCTTGCTGCAGGGAGAGCAGCGGCATCCGCGCAGACATCCCTACACCCATTCCCTGGAAATCTAACCCCCGTCCACCTGCTGACGAGCTCCTGCATTTCTGCATCCCTGGTAGCGTAAGCCCCCGCATCCACGCCGCACAGCAGCCACTCCTCCTCCCCGCTGCCGGCCGCGCCGATGCCCTCCGCCAGCCGCGCCCAGCCGTCCAGCTCATCTGCAAGAAGCTGCAGCGCTGCATCCACCTCGCCGCCCGCTTCCGCGGCCGCCGACTGGGCCGCCCGCAGCCGCGCGGCGCGGAGGGAGTTGAGCACGCCGCGCCGCTGCTGCGCAGCGCCTCGGCGGGCAGGGGCGGCGGCGGAGGCGAGCCGGCGGCCGACGGCGCCGATGGAAGAGAGCTGCTGCTGCAGGAGCTCCAGGTGAGCTTGCTGCTCCTGTGGTAGCGTTTGTGTGCCATATTGAGGTGCGTGTCTGTCGTGACTAGTAGTTCGTGCCTGTGCCGACAAACGTCAAACCAAAACAACAGCCATGCTTGAGGAAGGAGCTGGTCTGAAGCTAGGAGATTGGTGGAGACGCAAGATGTCTGCTGGTTGACTCAAGCTCGCCGAAGCAAGCGTACATGAACCTCCTTGCCCCAGGCCTTCGCTCCGTACCTCAACGGCACGCTCCAGCTCCTCGCAGTCCTGCGCCTCATCCCAGGCGCTGCCCCCCTCCGCGTGGCCGCCGACCTCCCCCTCATTGTCAGAATCGCTGCCTGATCCTGATGAGAAGCCCATCGCACTCATCAGCTGCGCCCGGCCATGCGGCACCCCGCCAGGGGCTGCAGCCCCGGCTGCGACACCACCGTCCCCGGCGCCACTGCTGGAGGCCCCTGCCTGGAGTTGTATTGCATCATACAAACGCTGCGTTTCGGACGACACAAAGTTTTCGTCACTCAGGTGTTCAGCGAGCCACCGGAAGACGGGCCGCGAATCCAGCCACGACACTGTGGATGGTGGCAGTTCTTCGCCGAAGCCATGGCGCCGCAGCAGCTGCAGCAGACGGCTCTGTCCGCCACTGCCACCAGGCCTGGACGCGCCACGGTGTTTGCTCGCCATGCCTCACATCCACGTCACACAATTGTGGAAAAGTAGCAAACGGGGCCAATGAACAGCAGCGCGCGCGCAGCGTCTGATATGATCTCAGCTGCGCTTGGAAGAAGAAGTATCAAGGTGAAAAAGAAGATAATTGTGTCGTGTCACACCTCCTGTGAGGGTTGAGGTGGGATGGCGCGGGTGATTTGAACTCGACAGACGCCCGAAGCTGCTTTTGCACCCATCTGTCATCTGTCGGGAAGCTCCAGGCCTGCGCGAACTGCTTTCAAGATGTGCGTCTGCATGATCATACATGGACTGCGCGCTTTGCACGCGCCAGGTCAAGGTCCGCCGCGATGCAGCTATTGCGCTCTGACACATGGTCCTCTCCCCTCAAGCAAAGCCACAGCTGCACGCGGAGCAGCATGCTGTACTCCCTCGGTCCTGAGCTGGTCAGACACAACCGGCGGCGGCTTCTGCGCAACGGCACGCCCTGCTCCCGCTTCGCAGCGCGCATGTGCGATGCTGGCGTTGGGCGCCCACCTCGACAGCGCCAAACCCATGACCGTGATGCCGCACAACCCACACGCGCATAACAGCGCTGCGGGCTGACGGGGTCTGCGGCGCCTCACCCACCTGACCTTGGACTGTTGGGACGCGGACAATTGGGAGATGCTCAAGAGCCTGTTTGGACCAAGCGCAGCTCACGCGCCTGAGCATGGTGCTCCCATCCTTTCCCGCGTGGGCGGTGGCCGCAGCTGCGAGAGTTGCTTGGAACCACCCTGGCAGCGCAAGGGGTTGATGACCTGGCGCATGGGGCGCCGGACCTGCAGCGGCTGGTCGAATGCCCACTGGATGTCTGGACACATGAGGGGACTGCGGCGGTGCTGCCGTGCGTCCCCTGGGCACCCAAGGATCCCGGTACGGTAGCTTCGCAGACGTGAGCGTTGCGTGCATAGAGCGTTCCCTGCACCAGTGCAAAGTGACTACGGTTGCTGTGGAAGAGGTGCGTGTCAACGTCGCTGGGCTGTCAACACTGACGCACCTGGTCCTTCGTTGCTGGTGTGGGGCTTGCCCGCGGGAAGGGAGGGGGGCGGCTGCCGGATGCCACCTGGGGGGCGCTCGCCTCTTGATGGGGCTGCAGCAGATTGCCTTCAATACCAGCGCCGACGTCAAACGGTTGGGGCAGCGCCTGCCTGCCTCGCTCGAGGTGCTGGGCCTGCGCTTCTGCGCACTGCAGCAGGCCGCAGCCGGTGCGCATCCGACTTGGAGAGTGCAAGGCCTGCGAGGTCTTGTTGCAGGCTGACCACCTGCCTTGGTTACAGGTGCTTGGAATTGCCTTCAGCAACACAGTCCTCATTCACGATTCCGCTGCGCAGCTGCTGGCTGGGCAAGCCGGCCTGCAAGTGCTGGCAACTGGCGGCGCCGGGTTGGGCCTGCATGATGTGTCTGTCCTCGCGTTGGCCAGCTCGCGAGCGCATGCTTCCTCGGACTTGCCGGTTCGCCCGTGCAGCTCGCACGTGCATTCAGGTTCGAAGTGGCTCACGTCGGGTTACAGGCAACGAGGTATGAACCTCTGGTGCGGGCAAGGTGAGCTGGCGGCGGGTTCCTGATGATGTTTCACAATGCATCGGATCAGGATTGTTACATGATCCCGCGGCACTCGCTCACCACATCGTACCTTGGAGGCTACCACTTGCACTCAGTTGGAGCGTGTTGGTGTGTGCCAGGGGTTGCGTGTGTAATCAGCAGGCACAGAGGGAAGGGCCGTAACAAAATCATGTGCCACACACGTGCGTCTGATCTGAAGCACGTTTGCACGAGCCAATCAGAATCAACGAGGGGCAAAACAGCGTCCCTGAGGGTGTAAGCATGACAAGTCAGCAGGGGCGCGCACAGGTGCTGATGAGGGCGTGGCAGCGGGATGCAACAACCGAAGCTGACTGCATGTGCCCCCGCAGGTCAACCCTACGCCGGCTTGGGCGGAGGGTCGCCTGGCAGCTGCTGGGCAACCAACCCTGGCTGGTGTTGGGCATATGAAGTGGGTGCAACAGCCCGACGGGTCAAAAAAGTCCAATCAGTGTTTGGAAACACCAGTCAGCATGCACCAATTGCCCAGAATCATTCTGGGCCATGATGGCCCGCACACAGACAACTGCAGCTCATCAAGCTGCTCGAAGAAGGCTTGAACAAAAACCGACATGTACAAAGCAGGCAACCTTGCGCGTAACAGTGCCACATAGCAGGCAGCAGAGCAAAAATGGGCCAAATGGAAGGCAGTTCACAATTGTGTCAGTCGCCGTCCTTTCGCCGCCGCTTTGACTTTTTACTCTTGCTCTTTTTCTCTTTCGCCTTCTTGCCCTTCTTGGAGCGTCGCCCCTTGCTCCGGCTCCTGCTCTCACTGCTGTGCTTGCGCTTGCGGCGCCGGCGCGCCCTGCCGCGGCTGTCCAAGCTACTGTCTGTGAGGCCACTAGAGTCCCCCAAAGCATCTGCCTCGTCACCGCCACCACCGCCAGCTCGTCGCTCGCCGTCGCCGCCGCGCGCGCCGAGCAGGCCCCGCAGCAGCGCGGTATTCGGGGTGGGGCGCCGCGCGCTGCCGCCTACACCATCTGACCGCAGCCAGCCAGGCCGTGCGGGTCCCAACACGTGCTCTGAGGCGCCCCCTTCCCCTTCTGCTGGCGGCGGCAGGTACGGGCCGTGCTCGTGATCTGATCTGGGCCCGATCTCGCCGCGGCCTCTCACGCGGCGGCTGCCCGCCAGCCAGCCCATCAGCTCGGCGTCGTCGATGCCACCTCCTCCCTCATCATCCGCAGCGCCCGCACCCCGACGCCGCTCGGGGGAGCGTTCCCGCTCGCTGCTGCTGCTGCTGCCATTGCCGCTGCTGCCGCTGGGGCCGCCGCTGGTGGTTGGGGCCGCGCCGTGTGGAGAGCCTCTTGAGGGTGAGCGGGAGCCGCGGTCGGCACGGCAGCCCGCACCAAGCCTCTGCCCGCTGCTCCCACCTCCGCTGCTGCTGCGGCTCCTGCCGCAGGGCCCCCTTCGTTCTCTGCTCCTGCCCCTGCTCCTGTCGCCGCTCCTCTCCCTGCTCCACTCCCTGCTCCTGTCCCTGCTCCCGCTGCGACCCTTGTCAGGGGATGGCTCCCTGCCGCCGCCGCCGCCGCCGTTGCCACGCCCGGGCCGCGCCTTCTCCCATGCCGCCCACATCTGCTGCTCCGTCACGCGCTTGTTTGTTGACGTCACGCCCCGCAGCGTGTTGGCCAGGAACCGCTCGTTGGGCCGCTCCCGCTGCACAGCCTTCCCGCAGAACGCCGTCACGCCCACCGCCGCCGCGCGCTCCTCCAGCTGCTGCGCCTGCCCAATTAGCAGCTGCGCCAGCCGCCGCTGCGCATCCGGGCTGAGCTTCGACGCCGCGCCGCCGGAGGCGGGCCGCGACGCCATCGCTTTCCTGCTTGCGAGCTCCCCCCTAACCCTGTTCCGTCCCCGCCGCAGCCTCTGCCGCTGCTTCTGCGCCGCTGGAGGAGCCCTCCTCCAGCAAAACTTGCATGCTCAGCACGCCCTCCAACGCGACGGCCTTGACGGGCGTCGCGGCGACGGGCGGGTCCAGGGCGGCCGCCTCTGTCGGGTCCTCCTCCGTCCAGAAGGCGGGGTCGGCGCCCTCGCGGGACGCGGCCAGCACCAGGAGCTCAAAGGTGGCGCCTTCGGAAAGCAGGCGCAGGGGGTGGGGCGTCGCGCGGGCGTTGTGAGTGCGGGCGCGAGGCGGCCTCAGGCGCCCGCGCCAACTCGGCCGCGCCCAGTGAGCGCGCTGATCGGGGAAACGCGTCGGCCGCACCCGCGTGCCAGAGAAATTCACCGCCGCCAGCACGGCAGCCGGGTCGCTGTCATCGCAAGCGGCCCGCCCCCTTACCCTGCGGCAGCGGCGCCAGCAGGTTGTCAATGAACTGGAGCTTCAGCAGGGCTGAGCGGAAGGCGGCTTCCAGGGCGTCCGGGTCGAGATCAATAAGGGTAGGGGCCACGCCCTTTGGGTCGGGAGGGGCGGGGACGCGCAAGGCGACGGGTGGTGCCCGTGGTTCGCCGACGGCAGCGACAGGCGCTCTCGCGGTGGTGACTGCATTAGGGGAGGCGGGGGCTGCTTTCACGCCCTCCAAACTGGAGGGTGCTGCTTGACAATGCTGCAAGTGTTCGACCGGTGCCCTTGACGCAGCCCGAAACCGTGCACGCTGCCAGCAGGACCCTGCGCAGCGCGCGAGCACACGACCACCGGCCGACAGAAAAATGTGCGAGCAGCCACGCCCGCGGCCCCGCCGGCCGCACCTGCACGATGAACGTCACCTTGGACAGCGGAGCGCCGTCCGGGGCCGCAAACGCCACCGCCAGCTCCCGCAGGGACTCCGCTGCCAGCAACGGCTGCGGTTGGGGGAGCGGCGCCGCGGCGCGGCAGGTCACCTCTTACTTCAGGGGCCACGGCGCGCCGCGGCTCGGTGGATGCTGCTTTTTTGCGATGCTGGTGTTTTGGCTGCGAGGCGTCGACAAGAGCCGCAGCCCCGCCGCGGAGGCCTCCGAGCATCAACCCCGGTGCTGCAGCGCGTCTCTGCAGGCCCCAGCCCACCGCACGCACCTTGATGTGCGATATGGTGGACGCGATGTATCCGCACAGCCCCGGGTGGCGCGCTTTGCTGACCGCGACGCCGTACAGCCGCGCGCGCTCGAAAAGCTCTGGCGGGTACAGGCCTCGGGCACGCAGCACGGCGTGCACCGCCGCCTCGAGAAACTCGCAGAGGGCGTCGACGAGGGGCGCGTTCGGGCCGCTGCTCATGCGCCGCCGCCGGCGCGGGCGTGGCGCGGCTGGCGTTGTAGGCGCGGCGTGCGTGCTGCGGTGTTCCTTGACAGCTGCACGCCGCTGTGGCTGCCGTGAATACAACAGATACTCAAAAGGCTAGATGATTGCTCCTCGAATATGTACAACGTACGCGGGGCCGTTGGAAGCCCCGGCGCGGTGCTCACAAGTGATCTACAGTATGCAATTCTGCTCCGTCGGCCAAACCTGATAACCCAAATCCGTTTGTCACCGTGTGTTGCCCGAATATGTGACGCAGCGCTTCCATCTTAGCCTTGATATCACTCGGGCCACTTCGGCACCTCGAAAAAAATGAGTCAGCTCCTCGCCCGGAGTCACTGAGGGTGCGTTGTCCTGTGTCCGGTGGCATGACGCAGGTGTGCCGCCTCCTTTTGATACCCGTGTTCCATTGGTTTGCACCGGTGTATTTTTCGTGCCCCGCTGCTGTTGATCTCCCTCGGGGGACATTGTGCCATTGTACTCGCTGCTGGCTTCGCAGCCTTCTTCGGACTGAAGACAGAGCAATGCGCCCGTCAACACTGTTAATTCTTGCCTGCGCTGCGGCGCTGGCGCTCGGCACCAGTGCCGCGCCGACGGCAGTGGTGATCGGCGCGGGTGTGGCTGGCCTCAAGGCAGCGGCCGACCTCGCAGCCAAGGGCGTCGCGGTGACGGTGCTGGAGGGAAGGGACCGCGTTGGAGGACGCGTCTGGACCGTCAACACGCCCGGCGGGCCCCTGGAGCTTGGCGCCCAGTGGGTGCGTGCAGGAGCTGGTCAAGGGCGTGACTGCACTCGACGGTTCACCCTGGATGACATCAGGCTTTGACAGCAGCGAGGGGAAAGCTCAGGCTTCCCCTTGCAGGATCAAACTGCCTGCGGCCGCGGCAACACTACCAACCCCCTCGTCCCCGCGGCCAACACTTGCCCTCTGCATTCGCCACCGCCCCTCCCCGCCCCTACAGATCCACGGCACCAACAACCCCATCCTGTGAGCCCTGCTGTCCTCATCCCCAACCCCCGGCGCCCTGCCCTTCGCCCCGCTGCTTCGCATCGGCCGCTCCCCCGACCACCCCAAACGGCGCCCGAC